ATAACCTCCGGAGCTTGTCCTACAGTTCATAACAATTATGAGAGAAAATAATAAATTAGGGATTATAACTGAACTGCCATCCTTAAAAAAATAGCTGAAATTTTTTTTCAAAATAATTCTAAATTTCAAAATAAGTATTAAAAGTAGGGGAAAAAGAAAAAAGAGCGAGAACAAAAAACAGTTCAATATATATACGATATACTTGGTTGCAGTCAAAAGAGAAAAACTTGTGTCATCGATTGCTTTGGCTGTGCGCTCAGGTATATGTGTATAGTCAACATTTCCACTCCTCTCCTCGTAGACACATTCGGTATACCCCTTCCACGTCTCTTCAAAATGTGTGCCTATATGATCATTTCCATGCGAATCCGCTCCTCTTCTCGTAGGCGCATGCTGTTCGATACGAGTGGTAAGATGTGCGCCCGGTTCGATGGCTGACCGCAGCAGGGTGCTCCGATCAGTGCCAAAAAGTCGTCTCGCATCGTAGCATTGGCGTTAGCAATCTCTCTACTCATCTCTGCAGAAAGTAATACATACGAACGTATTGTTAAACATGTGTGTACCTATGTATAAGTAGGTAGTATAGATACTCTCTTTGCCGCGTATTATGGTTCTTTCTCATGCTCGTTATTTATATCTTATTGAACAGAAAAATATTAAATTATTTAATATTTGCTTTTTCCTAATCTGTAATATTTAATGATAAAAATCCATTTTCGTAAATTCGTAAGGTCTTCGCAGGTCACTCGGGCCGCAAAATAGCCCCTGGGACAATCGCATTTATCCTACGAAAACAACTATTTTTATCATAGACAATCAAATACCACCGAATTTAATAACATATTCTTTAATGTTTTATATCTGTCGGGGGTCTCAAGACTCGCATCTGGTTTTTTTAAATTTAAACGTAATTGTAAGGCTCGAATACATATCAGGTGTATTTCAGTCCTCGTGCTTCTGGTATATTAAACCAATTATCAATTGTAATTGAGTCAAAAATAATTTTTTCATCCACTACTAGTAGATTTCTTGAGTTGTCTTTAGGACAATCGGTTTCCAATTTATTAGCAATTGTGTCATCTATATAGATATAGAAATAAGGGTAAACAAATCTTACGCTCTCTATTTTTGCACTTAGTGCTGACTTGTCGAAAAAATTGATCCAGACCTAATAGGTACTTTAAGCTCATCATTTCTTAATTAGAAGAATTCTGAGTGTACGATGAAATTAATAAATACATACCACAACCAAATTTATGTAGATACATCTTTTTATATCATATATGAAAAGATTTGGAGGCTGGACTAGCTATCCCTAAGTACTTTTTCTTTTTTTATACGTGAAATTGAACCAAATTGAAATTGGGTTAACTTTGCATAAGTAGTGGCACTAGCATCTTTCACTAAGCAAATCACTGCTGGTACTATATTAAAATGCAATAATTTAATTTAAACAGCAAGTGAAACTACGGACTGCAATTAATATTCAACGAGTACATTATTATCTTTAATTATTGAAGATCTTGGATGCAGTGCAAAAATAAATCATAATACATACACATATGCACTTTATTAAAATTTAGTATAATAACTTAAGTGCAGTCACGTGATTACATCATATCACGATGTTACATACTTTAGGATAGTAGTTCATAAAATAAAGAGACGATGAAATTTCATGGAATTTAAAACATTCATTCCTTAATTTGTTTTTAATCTACTATTGAAATTTTAGGAGGCTCAGCGGTGCCAAAACGTAAATATAAAGCTTCAAAGTTGAACTACTTGACATGGCGAGCATAGGCAAAATGCATAAAAAACGAGCACTTTGTTTGATATTTTATTTTTTATGGCTACACAGATATTGTATTACAAAACAGAAAAAAATTTTCGTGCCGTTTCGAAGATATTTCAATTTCAATACATTATTCCATGTTTTCAGTATATCTAAATACTGGCAAAAAATAAATACTATTCTGATTTTTTTATAGTTTAATGCTATCATTTTAATTGTATTTACGGGTAATTTTTCTAATGTTCTAACTAAACCAATATTCATTAAAAGTAATGAAATTGAATTGTTATTGTAAAATCAATTAATATCGGTGAATTTTGGGCCAACATCTACCTTAAATCACGTACAGATGAAAAGAAAACGACGTGTACTTACTTTATAAGCTAATTTTAAAAATTTCCAAAGATAAGTTAATTATAGACTGCTCATTACAAACAGGGGGTCCGTGGTACTGAAGCTCATTAAAAAAGGAGGAGAAGTCAAGGGCAAATAGCCAAGAAGTCTTTTTGTCTCGTATTTTTAGAGAGTAAGGGTATTGAGGAGACCTGCATAGGATGTACTTCGCAAATACTGCCAGCAGTGGGCATCTTGGCTCGAAGATTGGAAAAAAATTTCTTTTTAAGGTGGCTCCAGCGCCTAGTGCCGTATCTAAATGGGGAGACTGAAAATTAATCATTATTTTCTTTAAAATATGGTATAAAATTATCGTAGAGATTGTTGTAAGCCATATTTTACATTTTATCTGTTACTTTAGTGAGTNTCTCCTGATACTCTATTTAAGAAAGATGAAGAAAGTATCGAACAAGTAAGTAATGATGACTGTGATGAAACTGTTAAATGTAGTATATGCTCAAAAGTATGTAAAAATTCTGAAGAACTACAGCAGCATCACAGAGAATTGCATTCGTCATCATCAGCAATACTCGCTTTGGCTGTCAGTGAGAAGCATGTTTACAAGTACCGATGTGGTCAGTGTAGCTTGGCATTCAAAACACTAGACAAACTTCAGCAGCATTCCCAGTACCACGCAATTAGAGATGCAACTAAATGTGCTGTATGTTGCCGCTCTTTTCGATCAGTGCAAGCTCTCCATAGGCATTTGGAAACATCTCACACAGAGTTGCAGGACGATGAATTGGCCCAGTATAAAAAAAGTTTGATGAATTCACATCCTTTTATGCAAGTTTTTACAGAAGAAACTCTAAGACGTCAAGGAATTTTAGATGATGAACAACTGGTTGATGACGAAGGAAAAATTGACGACGATGATGAAAATGAGCTCAACGAATTATCTCCATTGCCCCAAGAACAACGGTTATTAGAAGATTATCTTAACAGCCAGTCCATTGCAGAAGATTCATATAATGACAATGGTCGAAAGTTTAAGTGTCATCGATGTAAAGTAGCATTTACAAAACAATGTTATCTTACTGTTCATAACAAATCTTTACTCCATCGAAAAGGAGAAAAAATGCCATACCCTATGGAAAAATATTTAGATCCCAATAGGCCATATAAATGTGATGTTTGTAAGGAAAGCTTTACCCAAAAAAATATACTTCTTGTTCATTATAATAGTGTAAGTCATTTACATAAACTAAAAAGAGCTATGCAAGAGCAGGGTAGTAGTAATTCTTTTGCCAGTACAGAACTTTCCACGAGTCTGTCTATGATAAGTGATACCCCACAAGAACAGGATAAAAAACCATATAAATGCAACATTTGTAAAGTTGCTTATTCCCAAGGAAGTACTTTAGATATTCATAAAAGAAGTGTACTTCATCAAACGAGAGCAAGTAAAATTCATGATTTAGCTATCAGTGGTCAGCTAGACTTATCTCGTCCATTAATTGAACAACCAGTTGTTAGTCCCAATAGTACGTCGTTCAATAATAACTTAGATGTCAATACTAATAACTTATCTTGTATTAAATGTAATGCACTGTTTAATACTCAAGATCAACTCATGGTCCATCAACAACTATATTGTATTTTTAGCAATCCGTTGCTTTTATTTCAACAGTTAGCAACAAATCAACAGATCACAATATCTCCATCAAAAACACCCCCTCCGTCAGTGTCATCATCTCTTGAAAAACATATGGATCAATCTGATTTTCATACTTTGTCTTCTTCTCAAGATATTTCTTATCAACCCAAACACAAGACCTCGCAAATGTACAAACATTTACTAGAAAGTTTTGGTTTCGATTTAGTTATGCAATTCAATGAAAACCATCAACGAAGGCATAGAAAGGAAAACGACATTATGGCCACTTATCAATTCAATGAAGAAAATAGAAGTGATACTAAAGGGAATAGCCTTAATAGTAATGAAAAAGATCAAGAAGTAGAATATTTAGAAGAAGTAATTCCAGAAATTAAAAAAAGTACCTGTCAAGTATATAATAAAAATAGTATTTATTTTTTAACAAACCGTAGTCAAATCATTTTAAATCCACTAAAAAAAAAGTTTTATCGTACGATTTGCTATGGGTATAAGTATTATATTTGAAACAATACACTTGTTTTGAGCTAAGTCAAGACAAATCTATCCTCACTAGTAAGATTCTATCTGACACTTTAATGTTCATTCAGAAGGCGCAGAGCACCCTCGTTGTTTACTATGAAGAGGGTTATATCAATTATGTTTCTGAAGATTAACTAATTATTTTTAGAATGAAAATGGTTAGTTCATGATTAAGTTTGTCAAGCCATTTAATTACAAAACTACAAGAAAATACATAATGACATTGCTATAAATAATCAAACATTATTTTAAATATACTCTGCTTTTAATGGGAACATAACCAGACAAAAGTCGCAGTTGTTTTAGTTGTCGTTATACAAAATGAGAACACGAAAAGTGTAGTTATCAAATTGATAACTTAATTAGGCAAACAGAGAATAATTAAAAGAGTGTCTAACTAAATAAGATTTATTATTAAGCTTTTATATTCATGCAGCTAATTCTGACTGACATTATATATAGTTCTCAGTTTGTAAATAAAATTGTTTTGAATTGCGGAAAGTACCGTAATTGTTTATGAATACTTATTAAGTTATCTTTATCTTTTTAAGAGCACATTACATCGTACTTTTACTCATGATACCGTATAAAGATCTCTTTAAAATTTTGCAGTGAGGTTATATGTAGTGCTACTCTATAAAGTAAGCTTTTATTTACACTTTCTTCGCTGGAAACTGCTCTATGGAAGGGGTTAATATCATTTTAAGGCATCCTTAGAAAACAGTGGGTGCATAAAATAATTTAAAATATATTATTGATACCAGAGTATCAGTTAGTGTTGGCCATGAAACAGAGCTTAACGGTGCATATTCATGATAATGTGCGAAGAAATGTGAGCCATTTATAATAACCTAATAATATGTTTTTAGCCAATGAAGTTGAAAGTTATAACTTTTAGACGACTTTTAGTTAATTTATTACAACTGTCAATAGTTGCCTTTTCAAGAGAAGTTCAATATTTATAACATAATTTAAAATTATCTCTTTTTTAACGCAGTTATTAAAAATCACATTACTAAATTTGTTTTCGAACATGAATGCTCTTAAATGATAATTAAAAAGTCTTTTATAAAAAAAATTATTTTTAATTCAATAACTGTTAAGTTTATTTAAAATAAATAATTATAAATTTATCCTTGTAGATAAAACAAACAAATTACATGACTAATTCTTCGTTTTAGCTCGACCTGAAGAGGAAAACGACTGCAGAAGTGAAATAAAACAAGAGATAGACCAGGAACATGAACAAGAAAATGATACTGAGTATTTTACTTGCTCTTATTGTGCATTTCAAGCATTATCTACTACTGAAATACAAAATCATATACAAATTACTCACATCCAAGATACTAACGACAGTATGGGTAGCTTAAAAATGAATGTTAATTCGAGTCTATTATGTCCTTTGTGTCAAGACTGCTTTCAACAAAGATCCGCTCTGGAAAAACATGTCATGCAAATCCATTCTGTTAATTCTGACGGCTTACAAAGACTTTTACTTCTTGTCGACCAAAGTCATTGGTTAAACAATAATAGAGTATCTACTCCCTGCTCTAGGTCTCCTGATACTCTATTTAAGAAAGATGAAGAAAGTATCGAACAAGTAAGTAATGATGACTGTGATGAAACTGTTAAATGTAGTATATGCTCAAAAGTATGTAAAAATTCTGAAGAACTACAGCAGCATCACAGAGAATTGCATTCGTCATCATCAGCAATACTCGCTTTGGCTGTCAGTGAGAAGCATGTTTACAAGTACCGATGTGGTCAGTGTAGCTTGGCATTCAAAACACTAGACAAACTTCAGCAGCATTCCCAGTACCACGCAATTAGAGATGCAACTAAATGTGCTGTATGTTGCCGCTCTTTTCGATCAGTGCAAGCTCTCCATAGGCATTTGGAAACATCTCACACAGAGTTGCAGGACGATGAATTGGCCCAGTATAAAAAAAGTTTGATGAATTCACATCCTTTTATGCAAGTTTTTACAGAAGAAACTCTAAGACGTCAAGGAATTTTAGATGATGAACAACTGGTTGATGACGAAGGAAAAATTGACGACGATGATGAAAATGAGCTCAACGAATTATCTCCATTGCCCCAAGAACAACGGTTATTAGAAGATTATCTTAACAGCCAGTCCATTGCAGAAGATTCATATAATGACAATGGTCGAAAGTTTAAGTGTCATCGATGTAAAGTAGCATTTACAAAACAATGTTATCTTACTGTTCATAACAAATCTTTACTCCATCGAAAAGGAGAAAAAATGCCATACCCTATGGAAAAATATTTAGATCCCAATAGGCCATATAAATGTGATGTTTGTAAGGAAAGCTTTACCCAAAAAAATATACTTCTTGTTCATTATAATAGTGTAAGTCATTTACATAAACTAAAAAGAGCTATGCAAGAGCAGGGTAGTAGTAATTCTTTTGCCAGTACAGAACTTTCCACGAGTCTGTCTATGATAAGTGATACCCCACAAGAACAGGATAAAAAACCATATAAATGCAACATTTGTAAAGTTGCTTATTCCCAAGGAAGTACTTTAGATATTCATAAAAGAAGTGTACTTCATCAAACGAGAGCAAGTAAAATTCATGATTTAGCTATCAGTGGTCAGCTAGACTTATCTCGTCCATTAATTGAACAACCAGTTGTTAGTCCCAATAGTACGTCGTTCAATAATAACTTAGATGTCAATACTAATAACTTATCTTGTATTAAATGTAATGCACTGTTTAATACTCAAGATCAACTCATGGTCCATCAACAACTATATTGTATTTTTAGCAATCCGTTGCTTTTATTTCAACAGTTAGCAACAAATCAACAGATCACAATATCTCCATCAAAAACACCCCCTCCGTCAGTGTCATCATCTCTTGAAAAACATATGGATCAATCTGATTTTCATACTTTGTCTTCTTCTCAAGATATTTCTTATCAACCCAAACACAAGACCTCGCAAATGTACAAACATTTACTAGAAAGTTTTGGTTTCGATTTAGTTATGCAATTCAATGAAAACCATCAACGAAGGCATAGAAAGGAAAACGACATTATGGCCACTTATCAATTCAATGAAGAAAATAGAAGTGATACTAAAGGGAATAGCCTTAATAGTAATGAAAAAGATCAAGAAGTAGAATATTTAGAAGAAGTAATTCCAGAAATTAAAAAAAGTACCTGTCAACACTGTAGTAAGGATTTTAGCAGTGTGTGGGTCCTTAAAGCACACTGCGAAGAAGTTCATCAAGATTTGGTCCCTCGAGAATTTCTGGAAAAATACGCACAGCAATTTAAATGTGAGTACGAGAAAAAAATTGTTATAGTAACTGCAGCAACATCGTCTTCAACTACAACAGCTCCTATAACAACAACTCCAACATCTTTGTCAACACAGGATAACATTAGTTTTGAGAGTAGAGAAAAAGATTATGGACTTGATATCAAGGATCACGTCAGCAAAACACCAGAAGCAACCTCAACCACCCCTGCAACTACTCCAGCATTAAGTAATACCCCAGTTTCAAGTTCTGATTCCACTACTCCAACAGTACATAGCAATATACCCCAAACATTTATTCAACAACATCAGCAGCAAATTGAACAACAGCAGCAGCAACAAGTTCACTTAACACTAGCTCAACACATGAATGAAATGCAAGCTGCATTTAATGCTATGGCAGCTTCTCAGCTTCATCAATATCCGAGTATAATGATGAGTATGATGGGATTACCTCTGGGATTAAATGTCCCTGCTCTTGCTGCTATGAATCTTCAACCTCCTTTGGTACCCGTTATGCTACCTCCTCAAAGTATAGATGCAAATAGTGTATACTCACCTATATCAGTTCAATCTGATCGTATAGTCAAACAACACCTTGCTATACAACAGCAACAACAACAACAACAACAACAACAACAACAACAACAACAACAACATCAAAATCAACAACAACAAGTAGTTGCTGTAAGTAATTATTTTATTCTTTTTCATTTATCTTTAGAATCATTAAAATGTGACTTAACTATCCTATGAAATTTAAATGTCTATATTGTAAGAAATACATGCAATGAAAGTCATGAAACCCAAAATTTGTCATAATGTAATACTTAATTTTGCTTTTATTTAAATAGAATTATGTATTGATTCACGTTAAATAGACTTTAAGATTTTATAACTGTCAATACAGTTGTGGTTAAACAATAATAGACTTGAAATAAATTGAGCATATAAATATATGTTTAACTTAAAATAAATGAATTTTCTACCTAATTTTAAGGAATATGTTTTTACTATTAAAGTAACTTTTTGAATCACTCCAAGTTAAATGATATTTTAATCTAACAGGTAGTTTCAATCATCAAATAAACAAAAGAATGTGTTTGCAAAAGTAAAATTACAGTATAGGTTACCACAAAAGACAAATATACCAGTTCACACAGAGATAACACAAACTTGTGTACTTACAGTGTGTATGCATACATACATACGTATGTTTATCAAAGGTGATTTATACGAACAATTATATATATTGGGGGAAGGATAATTATGCAGACAAGTTAGAAGTTATGTAAACTTTCGTGTAATTCTACCATGTTATTAGCATACATCTTTAAAACAAGATGTTTAATAAGAAAAATGCAAATTGAAATTAAAAATTTACAATAACGAAACCAGTCTACAAAAAAAAAATTATTTTTGAATTTAATGAACTATCCTGGATAATTTTTAATGCAACAGGTTGACTTAAGAAGTCTAAAAAAAGTAGTGAAATCTCCATTAAAAAAAACAAATTTGTGTTAAAAGTAAAATTTGAGGCGAGTTTTATATGTTTTGGATATCCATCCAAAAAAAAATTATGACTACAAAACAACTATTCTAACACAAAGGTACGAACTGCAGTTGTGGTTTTAATAGCGGAAACTACAGTAATTTCAAGTGCCTTTTTTTAGTTATGTATAATATTTCTAATGATACTTGTTCCAAAGTATTTAGTAAAATGAAAGATATTAGAAGTAGTAAGATTTACTTACCTTACAGACCAAAACATAATAATATTTTGCAAAACTATTAAATCTGTTATGTATCGCTTGCCAGGCTAGTTTAATATTTTCTTTTGGTGAACAATCAATAATAAGTTTTAAAAATAAAATTTATATTTAACTATGTAGCGTTGAAGCTCTAGAAAATGGACAGCTAATTTCTATTTTATTATGAAAAAAATTTTTGAGAAAAACAGTTCTTTGATGTAGCAACAAACTTAACTTGATAAATGCATAGACTGAATTAAAACACTTTTTGCACTAAAACGGTAATTGTACCACCTTTGACACATTGCAGTGGATTATTCCAAATATCCTTTCATAGAAAATACATTTTTTCTTATACATAGCCTGCCACAGAAACATAACTCTATATTTGGATGCCAAAGCACCTGTAGACCACTGGTTTTTAAAGTTATACTTCTATAGGCGCGTTCTGCCCTACGGAGTAAATCAACGATATCAGATTGGTGACCTTGAGAAAAAGTGTAACAGAAGTGAATTTTGCTTGATTCTTTCCTTTTGCCTTACCCTTCTTGACCTATTTCCCGTCCCCTGTACACCACACAACATCACCACACCACACCACACAACGTTATGACACCACGGCACGGCACACGTTTTGAATTTTACTTGTTTTTTTTAACCGATTTCTAAAAAAAAAAGGAAAAAAAAACAGTTTCCAGATAGAGTTGAGCCACCGACCTCTTGCACACTAGCCAAGGCCCTTACCAACTCTGTTACGAGGAATCCTGATAAACAGAAATCGATTACTTCATGTTATCATACAGTTTGTTAACTTGTTTTTAATGTAAATTTTTATTTACTGTGTATTAATTCATTTGGTTTGATAATACATTACTAGAAAGTTTTGGTTTCGATTTAGTTATGCAATTCAATGAAAACCATCAACGAAGGCATAGAAAGGAAAACGACATTATGGCCACTTATCAATTCAATGAAGAAAATAGAAGTGATACTAAAGGGAATAGCCTTAATAGTAATGAAAAAGATCAAGAAGTAGAATATTTAGAAGAAGTAATTCCAGAAATTAAAAAAAGTACCTGTCAACACTGTAGTAAGGATTTTAGCAGTGTGTGGGTCCTTAAAGCACACTGCGAAGAAGTTCATCAAGATTTGGTCCCTCGAGAATTTCTGGAAAAATACGCACAGCAATTTAAATGTGAGTACGAGAAAAAAATTGTTATAGTAACTGCAGCAACATCGTCTTCAACTACAACAGCTCCTATAACAACAACTCCAACATCTTTGTCAACACAGGATAACATTAGTTTTGAGAGTAGAGAAAAAGATTATGGACTTGATATCAAGGATCACGTCAGCAAAACACCAGAAGCAACCTCAACCACCCCTGCAACTACTCCAGCATTAAGTAATACNTTAAACGATCTGCAATTTTTTTTTTGGTATTCTTTATGGTATTTTTAGTATACTTTTAATGCTTAAATAATATCTGTCAATAAAACCTATGTGTGATGAATTAACGTTCTGAAAGGACATTTACTGGCATGTACTGCTATCGAAGAAAGCGGTACTACAGGACGGTTTGTCTTCATTTTTGATATACAATTATATTTTGGATAATAAATATATACTAGGAATAAGTATGTGAGTATCATGTTATGAATGTTATCAGCGTAGGCAGTAGGAAGTTGTTTTGAAACCATCGGAAGAATCGACGAAAGTGCACAGTCTTGTACTAACCAGCCTCCATATTGTTTGTATTGTACTATGCCATTATATATATTGTTTATAATTGTTTAGTTATTAAATATTAAAATATTTATTGAAACATCACCCAAGTAACGTAGGTACCCTTATTAGAACGAAAATTTCACCACCTTTGTACACAGTACCGTTTCATGGAAGGTATATTTATATTTATAATTATATCATCTGCAATATAATTTTATAGAAGTATAACTTCTTACTTGAATGCCGGAGCACCCACTGTTCACTGGTTATAAGTTATATATCTAACCATTAAAGGTGATGCACGGCTATAAACATTTTTACGGCAATCGTAATTTATTACCAAACCAGCGTGTGGGACTCGGAGTTCCCTGGTAAGAACGAAGATCTCGCAGGTTATGGCGGTATATTTATGTCTTTTCTGTACATTTGTCATGTATGAGAGGCTCGGAAACTTTTTAAAACAATTTTTAACACTTTTTGTGTGCCTTAATGTTTTTTTTTACCTTTAGGAAACCTGTAAAACTTGTTTTTTCTGCTCTTTCTTGCTTCTTTTTAAAGATATGGCGTATTTTGTAATATGTGGAGGTTATACAACATTGTAAGAACCCGTTTAATCAATACTGGCTATCTGCATCGATCTGTCAATGTACTTTATTAAAACAATAATATTAACTAGTGTACACAGTATTAATATTAACTACTTTATTTTATGCACATGAGGGTAGGCAAACATGTAGACAGTTACACACTTGCACAGTAAAAGTAGAAAGTACACACTCATCATACATGCACACTTTTATGGTTGCATCCATAATTCTGTATACAAGTTGCACTCACGAACGTACATGCATGTATACATTGTATACGTGGAAACTGCACACATTAACACACTACGACACGGCAATAGGAATATGCAGAACACTACACTCGGCATGCGCTTACACGCTTGCTTTTTCTATTTTCATTATTTCTCTATTTATTGTATTAATTGTAATGTTCAAATTTTTCACCAATTTCCTACTGGTTATGTAATTGTGGCATCTGAGCTTAGATGGGTGTAAGAGTCGTGTGTACGCATCTAAAATCTAAAATTTCGTATTTAGCTACATTTTCGTACCACAACCAGACAGTTACAAATCCAGAAAGTTTCGTCGAAGGAAAAGTCTGTATTTATGCTAACATTGCATAACTTTAAAAAATTACAATAATTTTTTTGTATATTAGATTACGAAATTAATTCAACATAAGATTCACAATATTAATGTATTGAAAATCACAATTAACTAACAATTTTTTTGTATATTATTTTCTAAACAGATGTTTTCAACCCATACATGATCCACAAAAAATGCGGATCTTAAAAAAAATACTTTTGACTCATAACGTAGACCCAAAAACATTTGTTTTCGCGTCTCTATAATTAAAAAAGGTGATATTTTACATTTGCAAAAATATTTGTTTCTTCGGCTAAATCTTAAAGAGTCAAAGACTTATGCACATAGTGTTATGAAAACAATTTTAGATCTCAAAGAATGTTTTTTTTTAAGTGAAACTTCTTTTGTGGGGCTGTGAATAGCCGCGTGAGGAGAAATGCCTCCGTCTCTCTTGCTCTCGCATGCACGCCGCTTGCTCCCTTCCCCTCACGCTACTACTATACCTATATATATATATTTATATACATATATTATAGGGATGTTAGTATGTATGTTTTTACATTACGACTAAACACTAAACTGATTCGCTTGCTCAAGCTGAGGTATAGCTATCAAGCCACATGATGGCTCTGTCGGTAGCGTGTCTGCCTACAGATCTTGATGGCCGGGGTTCAAATCCCACTCTGGACAAAAATTTCATGATTGAATGAGGTTTTTTTCTGGATGGGAGTTGTACTTCAATAAACCTACCGATCCATCTACCGTTTCCTCCTACTGTTATTAAACCCAACGTATGGCTAAATACACTTTATGGTGTCAAAATAGCCATGTCTGAGCCCTTAAGGGGCGATGATGAATATAAAAAAAAAAAAAAAAAGGTATAGCTATCGAGAAAAGGGAGTAGAAGAGAAATACAGCAGCTGTACTTATACTAGAAGCAAAGTATACATATGTACACTGTAAATATTGTGACGTGGGAAACCGACGTCACA